GAGGAACAGAAAGTTGAGGGTAGGCGCGGTGGTACCTGCCACGGCCCTGGGCTGGCACAACCCGCGTGAGGCCGCGTGCCCGCCACGTGAGCGGCACCTCAGGGGAGAATTGTCTGCCCCGATGGTGCTGAGTGCTGCTCGTGGATGTGCATCTTCGATAACTCTGCATGCTGAGAGGAGATAAAGGGATGAGAGAAGGACACTTGTATGCCAGCCCAAAGAGTCCTTTATTTCCCCAGGTGGGGCAAGAAAGGTGCCCTCTGAATGGGTGCAGTGACAAATGCTGAAGAAACCAATGATTACAGAACTCAAATAGGGGGTGGGTGGACAGGGGTGTAAACCTCTCCTGCCTAATGGGGATAAACCAGAGAGGGATACAACAACCTATGATAACAAACTCGGATTGATTGGAACCAAATAAGTAGAAAACAAGGAGAGGTGAGATGATTGGCATATAACTGGGGAGCCAAGTGTGGGAACTTTTGGGGTAAGGGGACACATGGGGGAGCATAGGCTAACTAACATTGATGAATCCAAGTGACTAAGTCAACCCACACCGCAACAGGTAGGTTCTGAAACAACTGGAGTGGAAGACATGACTCTCACCTAAAGTTATTTTCTTACATGATTCTGAGTGGACAAACAATTTCTTTCCTATTTTTGTTTTATCAATTAAGAGCAGTGGCAAGCAACAGTTCTCTTTTTACTATGCTTTTGGGTTTTATTACTACTGTGGGAATGAAAGATCCTACAGGCCTAGATTATTCACTATTTCTATTTAACAGAGAGGTGTTGCCAATATCCTCACACTATGTACTACAGGAAATGGAATATTTCTACTTCATGATAGGTAATAGAGCTTCTTCAATCTCTGTAACCCTCCATTTTAGACAGTACTATGAAGAGGGTGCCAAGTCTCACTGAGCTGATTATTTTATTTCTTCTTGTGCTCTGTATGAGCATTCTAAATATATAAGGCATGAGAATATGTTACTTCAGAAATATTTCTATAAGTATTTCTAACAAATCAACATTAATTTAATCTAAACAATTGTTTTTTATAGGTTTCAAACCTTTGTGATGATTAATCATTACTAACAGTTAACATTTCTGCTCTCTGACCCTGCCAGAAGCAGTGACTATCTGGTCTAGGTTTCTGGGACAAAAATGTAAAGATAGGACAAATACCCAAATTTATTCTGTGATTTTAAAAGCAGAGAAATAGAAGAAATATATATTAAAAAAAGAAAGAGCATTCCTATGCCTCTACTAACACATTGTCAACACTTGGCAGAATTTAAAAATAATTATATTCTTTCTGTATTAAAACCCTGAGTCTGTTTATTCACCCTAAGTGATTTATCTTTTCCTTCAAGTGCAAAAGCATAAGCTTTGTATCTGTCTAATACATGAAGTAGTTAAATCAACTAAAAACCAGTGCCAAAAGCAGTAAGAACAGAATAAAGCTAGCACTTTAAAGCTGCCCACAAGCTGGATATTTGTGCTCCCATGATGCTTTGCTTTATTCTTGTGCTAACAGGGTAAAACTGTCTGGAAACATGCTTTATATATAACAGGATTTTATATATATATATATATATATATATATATATATATGTGTGTGTGTGTGTGTGTGTGTGTGTGTGTGTGTATATATATATCTATATATATATATATGTGTGTGTGTGTGTGTGTGTGTGTATATATACATATATATATATATATATAAACTTTAATTTTTCAGGTTCTTTGGTAAGAAGGCTCAAGAAAGGGGTGGACAAACTCGAGGTGAGTAGATCAGGCTAGCAATATTACAGCAAAGTCGTCAGAAGTACATTGGCCAATATATATTGCAATATACTGAATACAATTTTCTAATTGTCAGCTCTCATTTTCTCTCCTCAGGCAAAGTATCTGCTTTTATTGTTGGTGTAAGGTGTGCCTTTTAAATAATGAAACTTTACTATTTTATCCTCTCTGTTTTAATGCCCTTTAACCTGACGACTTCTCGCTATTTCCTTGTGCTGTTTTGCCTGTCACTTCTTCCATCTACCTGTCCTGATAATTCTCATAAGTACTGCTCCTGAGCAATCTTCAACATTCCTGTGCAGTGGATGGTAGAATTGGTACAAAAGCATAATTAATTGTTCAGCACAGAGACACAAAATATACATGAGACATATAAATGAAAAAAGATTAATTATTTAATTATATGATTCATTCAGTATCAAAATATATCCTGAAAAAAACAACTGGTATAGAGGAACTTAAAAAAAAAAGTTGAAATAATTGTTACTTGTGAGATCATATTAATTTTTCCAGAATCTACTAATTTTCATCAAGGAACAACTGTCTAAAACATTAGGGATACAAAAGTTAAGAAGTTTCTGTCTCATGATAATTTCCAAATATTATTGACATATTCCACATTCAGTGGAATGTTTCTATCAGAAAAGACAAAAGTGATAAATGCAAGATCCTCTTACATAAATATTGCATTTTATTTGTAGAAGTATTGAAATATTTTGTTTAGACCTTCTAACAGTGAAAGGTATATTTCATATTATATTTAAAATTATAGAAATTAAATAAAATTATACATTTAATAAAATTTATTTAAAATTATAAAAAATAAATAAAAGGATAAATGATAAAATTAAATAAAAAAACATTTTTCATGTGCACCAAAGCAGAGCCAAGGCTTGGAATGGAGATGGAAAAAAACACCTTATAGCATTGGGAGAGGCAATGTGCAGTTTAACTTGTGGGTCCCTAAAAACCTGTCTTGAATTATTGTACAGATCAAGACTGCTAAATGAAATGTGTTTCTGTTCATCCTTAAGGCCCATATGTAGAGTGCTTCTCTTGTGTAGTTTTAGCCATAATACACATATTTTTAAGCTCCTTGCTATTGCTCACCCCTGAATCAAGTCATTATGGACATAGCCTGCCTGCAATTGGTAAGTCTATCAGTCCCAGTGATTACAGAAACTCCTAGAATATATTAGGAGTCTACAAATTTTAGAAAAACTTTTTACCTTTAAAATTGCTTCTTTTGATCATGGGTGGCATTTTTCTTTTACCATAAAAAATGAAAGAAGAAGCAGAAACAAGTAAAATGTCCTATAGAAATGCTATCCTTGAGATATCCTGCATACTCTGCTGGGGAAAATAGCTCATCCTAATAGCAGAAGACACAATAAACAGGTTTCATTATGTGGTAATAACTTTCCTTCTCCAACTATATTAGTCATCATCAGACTGGGGGAATGAATTGAGTCCCCAAGGGAATAAAAAATATTGTATCATTCAAATATCCTTTCTATTTTACTTGCTTCATGTGAGTTTTACTATCTAAACCTTTTTTTTTTTTTTTTTTTTTTTTTTGCTTTAGGACAAATAAGTAAAATAATAGTTAATCATAGAACATCCTGAGTTGGGAGGGACCCACAAGGATAATTAAAGTCAATCTCCTGGCCTTGAACAGTCCAGCCTCAAGAACATACTCCTCAGAGTGTGGTGCAAATACTTCCCGAACTCTGTGAAGCCTGGGGCTGTGACTACTGCCCTAAGGAGCCTGTTTCAGTGCTCAACCACCCCCTGGGTGTAAAACCTTTCCTAATATCTAAACCAGACACAAACACGTACCATTTCCTTGGGTCCTGTCATTGGTCACCAAAGAGAAGAGATCAGTTGGTCTACTGGAAACAGTGGACTACTGTGAGGTCTCTCTGCAGTCTTCTCTTCTCCAGGCTGAACAGACCAAGTGACCTCAGTCTCTCCTCACACGGCTTCCCTTCAAAGCCTCTCACCATTCTCGTGGCCCTCCTTTGGACACTCTAACAGCTCAATGTCTTTCTTACATTGTGGAACCCAAAACTGCCCCTGTGCACCTGAGGTGAAGCTGCCTCAGAGCAGAGCAGAACAGAACAACCCCCTCCCTTTCCCAGACGGTGATGCTGTGCCTGATGCCCCCCAGGGCACAGGCAGCCTCCTGGCTGCCAGGGCACTGCTGATTCATGTTCAATTTACAATCAACCAGGATCCCCAGGTCCCTTTCCACATTGCTGCTTTGCAGCATCTCATTCCCCAGTCTGTCCTTACATCCAGGATTGCCCTATCCCAGGGTCAGAATATGTCACTTGCCCTTCTTAAACTTCATGTAGCTGGTAACTAATGATTTGAAAACCATTAATCAAGATCTCTCTGCAGGGCCTTTTTGCCTTCAAGAGAGTCACCAAATCCTCCAACTTAGTGTCATTAACAAACTTACTAAGTATCCCTTCAAGTCCTAGGTCCAAGTTGTTTATGAAGATGTTAAAGAACTTCATAAATTGTTTACATAAATAGATTATATTTATTGGCTTCCCTTGTACACCTGCTGACAAGAAGGGTTACCTGTAATAAGAGTAAATCAGGTTTGACAAGCAGGAATTTCCCTTTGTGAAGCCATTTTGGCTGTGACCAGTGACTGTGTTGTTTTTCAGGTGATTTTTAGTAACTCCCAGAATATCCTTCTTCATGGGCACTGAAATAAGATTGACAAGACTGTAGTTACCATGGTCATCCCTCTTGCACTTCTTGAAAACTGGGACAATATTTGCTAGCTTCAGTTGGCTGGGAGCTCTCTAGATTTCCAAGAGCCTTCAAAAGTCATTGAGAGATGCTTTCTGATGAGACCAGCCAGCTCATTGAGTATTCTTGGATGAATTCTACCAGGCATCATAGATTTATAGGGATCCACCTAAAACAGCAAATCCCGCTCAAGTTCAGAGTAGACTGGGAGATTATCATTCCTACAGCCATGGTCCTTCAAGTCAGGGCACTGGGACCTGCAGAGCCCATAATTCATGTTGAAGGCAGAGGCACAGAATGAATTAAGCCCCTCTGCCTCGTCCATGTTCCTGTTTGTGAGGTCACCATCCTCATCTTAGAATGGACTGGTGTTATTTCAACACTGCTTCTTGTTATAAGTAGCTGCAACCATCTCTTAACCACACCAGTCACAGAACTCATCACACCAGGCTTTTTTTATGTTAGTAATGTCATTTCTCTGGACTGGGCCAAAGCTTCGAGTTTTTGTTTGTTCTTCATGCTGCCCATGTCGGACTAGGAACATTTCAAAGGTAACACTGCAGCCAACACCTTATAGACCAAACTGAAGGATCTCATTTTCATGCACTGGGTTACATTTTGCCATGCTATCCCTGTCCCTCCAGCCAATCTAGTCTAAAGCTATACCAATCAGAGCTGCTAATTGCTTTGCAAAACCCTTTTCACCCCCTGAGAGAAGTGCATCCCATCAGGTGTTTTATAAATCATCCCAAGACTGAAATCCAAACATTCTGCCCTTATCACTATCCTTGTTCCATTTTTGTTCTGGTTGGTTTACGTAGTCCTTTCAGTACTTTTCCCTTCTAGTGAAAGGATCAAGGAAAACACTGTCTGTGCTCCTCATTCTTCAACAAATCACCTCAAGACCCTGAAATTTCTTTTGGTTGTCCTTGGACTTCTGCTTACTTATCTTGCTTCTGACAATATGAAGAATAAAAGCAGATAATAATCAGACAGCCATACCTGACTAGAGGGCCTTCTCATATACCTTACCCGGACCCCAGGGAGAATAAGCAGATTTCATTATGGCCTGGCTCTGGCCAGCACTACTCTGAAGTAGAATACCTCCAAAAGTGCAACTCCAATTATCAACTAGCAGAATGCTGGATAATTATTGATGTAAGATTAAAGTGTTTAACCTTTTTATTATCTGTGAAATCTTTGCTGAAGCAATCATATAAGGAACTTTTCTGTTCAGGAGCACCAGTCCCACAAATTTCAATGCAATTTGATATAATTACCAATTTTGACCAAAAGAAAAATACAAACTGCCTCTGCATTCAGGAGAAAAAAGGAATTCAGGCTAAGTTATATTACACTGTTTACATATTTTCTATACCCAATGCTCTGATTCATTTACTGGAATTAATTTCAGCTGGAAGAGGCTTCTGGTGGACATATTATAACCATCTCTAAATTTAATGGATATTTGGCCCAAGAAGCATAGATTTAGGTAATAAAAAGTAACAAAAAAGTAGCAACAATCTACTTGCTGCTATTAATTTTGCATTCATACTGAAATGATATTCTGTAACAATGATGTTTTAACATCACTCACCGCTGATGAAGTCTGCCATTTTGGTTATATCTGTACTGGAATGCACTGCTTAGCTACAATCCTAAATTCTTCTGCTAGGAAGGGCATCTGGTAGAGAGAGGGTAGGTTTAAATCTCTGTTTTCTTTTTGCACTAATCCAAGAGCTCACCATAGTGTGGAAAAAACATACATGATATGGCCACCACCCATGCAGTGCCATCAAGTGGGCAATACAAGCCCAGGCAAGAACTTCCAAAAGTGTTCACTGTCATGGACCTAACTTATTTTCTGAAGTTCTTACCAGTGTACTTTGGACACAGTTGCAGTGTATTCAAGTACATATGAAGGTAACCATCTTTATCAATATGATAAATCCTCAAAAGTTTTCATCCTTCATTCTTGTGTACACACTGTTTTGTATCGTAGTGAGTTACAAATAGGCACTCCCAACTGAGTTGGGCAGAACAGAGAAAATAAATCAGTGAAAGGCTAATACTGATAAATATTTAGGACAGTGATCTAGTGTTGGAGAATTTATGACTATAACCACTGGCCTTGTTTGCCTTAGCCTTCTTCAAAATAAGAAATGGCTGAGTGAGGTATTCTAGAAGGTGCTGCTGGCTCTTACACATTTAACCTTTTTTGAACTCTGGTGAATTTGTTTTACTCATACAAAAGACAAAAAGTGCATCCTAGAAATGCATCAAAACTTTCTGTGAGACTTGGTCATGCTAAGTACTATTTTTCTTCAATAAGCACATCTTATAGCAAATGTAAAAGACATCAATACAATCCTTAGTCATCTGGATTCCTCATGGACTGGGCACTCGCGTTATCTGTGGTTCTCTAATTTCAGGTTGCACTTCTCCTGCTGTAAATTATGTTGATATTCTTGGTAGACTTCTTTGATTTTTTTTTACTGTTTTTGTTATGGTATTAACACTTAAATATTTCAACCTAATAAGAATAGAAAGCAATTGTTTTCAGTTTGCTAACCAAATTAATTTCTATGATTTTCTTATTTGTATTGGTTTCAGATTCTGGCTTAGTGGCCCTTTCTTCTAGTGAATGCAGAAAAACACAGAACTTAATAACAAAACCATGGATTTAGTTTGACGCTCGTGTCTGCTTCTCAGTCAAGTGACAATGTCAAACAGATGAAAAATCTAAGGTATGTAGATGAATAAGAATATCACATTAAAAAATCCAGTCTTTATTTCTATATTTATAACTGGAATTATAGATTTAAGAGGAAATTTTATAAGCTAGGAATCTTTCCTCTTGCATCTTCGTTTTTGCTCATAAACAATATAATTACTATTTAATGCAGTTATCTCATTACTTACACACCATATTGAGGGCTAAATTAAAGATTAAATCACACTGGAATTGAATATTTGTTTTAGGAATGAATGCAGAGTTATATGTTTGTTATATATGCTGTGAACTCTACAGAATTACCTTCTTCCCTTCTCTCATAAAATTGAAGACTGATTTGTATGATTCTTTACGAGCCTTCACCAAGAGTATATGGTAGTTCAAATACCATTTTAGAAGTAAACCATTTGCTGCAGTATTTAATTGGATTTTCTAGTGATCCCTTAAACTGTCACTATTTGAAAGAAGTGAAAGCAGTAAGTGCCTCCAAATAAACCTCTGTGACATACAGATGTTTAAAATGCAATAAGAGACATCTAGTCTATAATAGTCTATAGAGAAAAACAGGTAATCAAAGTATAAGTATCCTATATAACAATAAATTTTGTACTGCTTTCTATGCAGTTTTCATCCATGAAGCTTAACATCACTACAGCAAGTTGCCAAGGAAATAAAATGCCTTATTAATTTAGCATTTTATTTAGTAATTGTTATGAAACTCAGGAATATGTCTGTTTAATTGCAGTATGTAAGGAATACATTTTCTTTCATTACATGTAAGTATTTTATTCAGTGATATCTCTGACTCTTGCTAGAAGAATTTATCTTACTTTCCATTGAGAAGCCATTACTTAGTGTTCTTTTATCTTAAATAAAACTTTGCTATTGACTAAGAGCAATTTTTAGATCTGCAGCAATATTATTTAAATATTTATTCAGGAAAATTAAAATTTCAGGTTTTGTGTTTTTTCCTGTATTTATTTTTTAATTTAAAGTGATACCAATTTTTCTCCATACATTGTATAAGATAAATTCATATCCTGTGACCTTGGTGAAGCCTTCATTTCACCATTCTTAAAAATATGCATTAGAATGTACATAAAACTTCTGATCAAAATATTAAGTTTTGATAAAAGAAATTAATCCGTAAAGTTAGAAAATTATTTCATCTACTTCTAATTCGTTGTTATTAACATGCACTTACTATCCTGTAGTCTACCTGATCCACAGCAAGAAGAATACTACTCAAAATGCACAGTTTGAGTCTGATAAACAAAAAAAAAATAGATTTTAAACTGCCCAGACCTTAATCTCTGTGCAACAAGAGATGAGTATTTTTCTCTGGATTATAAACTAAATTGAAAAGCAGCTGGATTAAGGATAGGTGCAGTAGCTGCAGTGAACTGTCTCTCTGCAGCTTTTAAATTCTCTAGTTCTTCTTCTGTGTAAGTAATTAATATTCCTCTAACTTCTTGTCTGCATTCATTTATATTTCTCTAACTTCCCATCTGCAAACACTCGTTAATTTTTCCTTCCTTTCTTTCCTTTCTCATCACACTCTCTTAATTCTCACATAGTGGCCTCTCCCACACTTTCTAAAGCACAGTGTGTTAAAATTGCACAAGGCAAAATGCAATTTTGCTAGGCTCATGCTGAATCTGAGTCTCCTTCACTCAGCATAGAAACACATTGTTTATGAGCTTTGGGCAAATACCACGTGAACAGGTGAAAATGGGATTTGAGAGGTGCAAAGAAGTTTTTTGTCTACAATGCATTCATCCCACAGAGCCTGGCTACAACAGCTATAACTAGCATTTTGTAGTGCTAGAAAATTGCTAGTAGTTTTGTAAGTGAACAGAAGGAAAAGAAATAGATGAGGAAAGAAGGTGGTTGCACCTTACCACGTCTTAAGTCTTACAGTATATTTATGTTGGTTTTAATTCTTGACTTTCTTCATCTTTCCTTTTTCACAGGAGATGGAGCTCATTTTTAATATCCATGGGATGAGTTGATAGTATCAATATGATTTCCTTCCAGGCCTGCACTAGCCACCATGCAAAAAAATGGCTGTTGAGTGTTGTTGGGAGCACTCACTATTATCCAGAGCATGGAGAAATATCTGCTTAAGTACCTTGCAAAGAGCATTAAGAAAAGGATTCAGCTAATTTCAGAGACTATAAGAAAATATTCTATACCTTTCTACAATGACCAAAACAATGCCACAGACAACTGTACAAGAAAATAAAGAATTTTCCATATTTTATCATGACCATGGTAAAAATTACAACTGGAGTAATCTATCAGATTATTACAAAAATTGCACTGAAAACTAGGGAGGTTAATTTACATTAGGATTATCTTACATTGCAGTAAAGTGCAATTATTTTATTATATTGACAAGTTAAAGCCTTCTGGTCTGCTATACCTGACAGAGAAGAAGTCCAGACAACTTTACAGCCTTCTATCTTTTCCACTTCCATCTCTGGTATGACAGAAATGCAAAACATCAAACATCTTATTAGTGCATTACTCTTTAAAATAGAAATATGCACAGTTCATATCATTAGAGAAGACTATAGATAACCTATAGACTAAAACACATCAGAATACCTTACGTCAGTTAAAAATATCTTAGCCAAGATCTACTTTACTAAGCTTGTAACATATTACATATAATTCATCCACATCCTTTCTGTACTGTATCAATGACTTCTGGTGGTTGTATTAGGAGTAATAACTTTCAGTAGAAAACAGGAATAAAACAGCTCTTCCAAGCAGAAATATCTGAAAACACAGTGTAAACTACAAAAAAGGTCCATCCACTGAGCTTAAGAGCTAGACGGTACTCAGCTCCTGTGGTTGGAATTTGGGATTTGTTGTTTTACTCGGAAGTCCAGCTGCTGAGGAACCATCTCCTTACCCTGTCAAAGGCAGACACTTGGAAATTTACAGTCCTGATTTCCTTGTTTATGTCAGTGAATTCAAGTGCTCAAATCAACATGCAATTTGCAATTGCTCCAGTCTTTTTTTTTTTTTTTTTAGGGTGAGGAAGAGAAGAATTCACAAAAGGTCAGTATTACTCCCTATTTTCTGGTGCAGCAGGTCATGTCATCAGGAGTGCTCTTTGCGCATACACATGACCAGGTGAGTGAGGTTGCTTTTGTGAGAAGCACAGTAAAGAGATACCAGGAGATATAGCAAATCCATACTAGAAGTAAAGGAGGTGCCCAGAACCCCTGAGGTGGGCAGCAGGCTTCAAATGCAGCCCCCCAAACAGAAGTGCTGAAGCACTTGGAGTCACCAAGGCCAGCAGCTCTGCTGTTCTGGGAACAGACTCAGGGCAAGGATAAATTACAGCTTGTGTAACCACTCTTGTCATCACAATGCTAGAGAATCCACAGATCACAGTGGGATGCCAGAGGAAATCTCATTGCTGCACAGAGCAGGAGGGGCAGTCTAGGGAGTACATGCTCCAGAGAAGGTATCTTTGCAAACAAAGGAAAAAGAGAGAAGCTGAATGATAGGATCCATGAGTTATATAACAAATTTGGCTTCCAGAGACACAGGTTTTAAAACCTGTGGTAATTTTAGGGAGTCTCATTTCTTTTAGCTATAGAGGAAATAAAACTAAGAAAATATTTTGTTTAAAGGTCAGACCTTTCACTGCCAACAAAGCTTTATGGAGACAGTTGCCATTTCAAAGTCCTGGGATGAGTTTAGATGTTTGTGCCCATAGTCAGACAATGCAGCAGTTGAAAAAATGCCATGCAAATCAAATTTGTTTCTTCCCTTTAAAAGCTTAATGGAGTGCTGAGAAAAAAATTGAAGGACTAAAAAAAAAGTAAATTAGTGGTCCCTAGTTATTACTAATTATTACTTCTGGATTAACAGATATTAATTTGCAATATTTTATACCTGTTTAGCACTAACAGAATATTTTGTCAAAAATAGACAGATCTTCAGTTAACTATTGCTACTGAAATGTTACTAAGTATGGATTACCTGTCTTGAAATATCAAGGGAGAAATCTCCAAATTCAGAAAAATCATGAGTAGGTAAAAAGGTTTTTTTATGATTATAAACTTTTTAATGGTTTAATTTTTCTAAAGTGTCATTATTTCTCACAAAAGGAGGAAAGCCAACAAAACAATGTATATTTGCCCCAGAAAGTTCATTGTGACCTCCCCTTTTGGAACACTTTTTAAAAGTGAATTGCATTTATATTTATAATTTTTATGGTTTTATTTATTTTTTATATGTTATAAATATATTTATTAATTACAGTATATGTTATATAATTACTATTATTTAAATTAATTACAGGTGAGATGCCTCATAGACCATGGAATTGGAAACTGTAATAGATATTAATTTTTCTGTCCTTCAAATGTAAAACTGTGCTCAGTGCCCTGGCCAGGTTTATGGTCACATTCTGCATCTCTCTGGTAGGGTGAATCTTTTAAGTAGCCCACAGAAAGTAGAGCAGCTTTGGCAAGAATAACACAGTGCAGTTAAACTCAGACCACAAGTCAGACTTTCAAGGCTTTTGCCGCAGGAACACAGGCTCAGACTCCATAAGGAAGAGAATTACTTTACAACTGGGTTTTTCATAGTTTGAGTAGGAGATTTTACCCCGAGGTTTTGACACTGAATTGCATCAATCCTTGCACGTCATTTTCTCAGTTTAAACCAGAGCTCTGTGGCTCTGTATGTACATATTTACATATGTATATTCCCAATATCAATGTGTATGTCCCCTGTGAAATTCTTTCTTACAGCAAGGTAAGAAAGGCAAGGAGGCAAGGTAAACTATAGCAATAAAAACTGACAGAAAAAAAAAAAAAAAAGCAAGAAACTGAAGATAAGAAGAGGCAAGACAATTATCAGGAAAAAAGCTTTGATGGTCTGTGCAAGAGAAAAGTGAGGCTTATCCTACATTGAGAAATTTCTATCAAGGTTAAAATATTACAGGGCTGAAAGTAGTAGTAAATATACTTATGGTCTCTTGTGCATCTGTTACTTTTGACAGAATTTAACTTCCTAAGAAATAAAATATATTCACTTCTACTTAAGTACATAGAAAAACCCATTCCTAAAGGTGTCACACTGCTTTGATTTTTATGACTTGATGCATTCTTGTCATTCTCAGCAAGCCTGAAGTCACCGTGCCACTCATCTATCCATTGCTCGGTAACTTTGAACCTGTCATGTAAGAGAAATTCATCACCCATAGAAAGATGTCACAAGGTGTCAAGCCAGAGATTTGTCTTTCTTATCCTTTTGCTGCAAATGAGAGTCTACTGTCAAGATGATAGAAAGTTCAAGGTGGAGGCGTCTAACAAAATATCAGAACTTCACTCACAGTGAGTTAGCGCCTGTATTCACATCTGAATTGAGCTCTGGCAAGGGTAAGACTTTTTGAAATCAAACTAAGGGCCAACTTTTCAAACATCCTTGATCATCTCCTACTCTTAGGTAAATGGCAGCAGGTTGATTTGCTAGATCTGCCAACACAGAGTTCTGCAATACAGTTTGGAGAATGTTTCTGTACATTCTTCCATAACACAGAACCTCATGTATCATCTGTGAGAAAAAGGTTAGGTTTGAGGTCTCAGGGTATCTGAGTTCCAATTCTCTCTTAAGACACTGATAAAAAATGCTGGGTTTAATATTTATTTTTATCCAGTCTAGAACATAAGCATAATGAAATATAGATCCTTGCTAATCATAAATTAAATAGTGGGGAAAATAACCAAAAAAAGAGAAAAACTGGGAAATGGAGAGGTGAATGAGAGCAGGAAGAATTTCTCAAAGATGGAAAATTGCAAAAGATGTATGAAAAATAAGAAGTAAGGTTGTCTTCCAATGTAAATATCTAATTCTTAGATGCAAATATATATGTGAGAGGTGTGCTGTATCTAAACACAATGAGGAAAGCTAGTGTGTAAAGAAAAATGGACAGAGACAGAAATAAGAATGAAAAAGGAAAAGTAAATTTCAAAGTTCAAATACCTTTTTTCACTGCCTTGGTTAAGAAAATATATTTCTGTTCTTATAGTGGAGACAGAGGTAGCCTGGAAGTCTTAAAATTACACCTTTTGAAAGCAAATTTCTAGTGAAACCATCCATCCTGCAAGATTTTTGAAAAAAATAACTTTGGTTCTTTGCTGTATTTACATGGAAAAACCCCAGAAATATGTTTTTTTATGAGTTCATGGTGGTCAGTTTTTATAGAAGTAGAGAGACTTCTGAAAAAATTCTGTTCTGATAAGTAGCTTAAACTATTTTGTTCCATATTGTGAGCTTAAGCAGCATAATAGTGGCTCTCTTCCACAGGGAATAAAGGAACTAATCAGCATTTAGTTATTCAGAAAAAGTAGCATGGTGGCACAGTTTAGTTTCATTGTGAATCTTATAAATCATTTTTATGAAGATAATAAAAAGTTATAAATGGTTACTGCAGTGCAGAGTGGTCCATCTCAGACACTCAGTATGTCAACTTTATTTCAATGGCTAAGAAAAGCAATAAAAAGAAATTGTAATATATGTAACTTATTGTGAAGCAAACAATGGTTAATGCAAGGCCAAACAGTGCTTGTCAGCAGCTACATCAGCTTTGTTTAGAAAAATGCATAGATAAAGCTATTTTATAAAGAATTTTGGACCCCATATTCCTAACCTATCTTTTGTGCCACAGGTAGAATGTATATCTATGTCATAGAATGCATATCTAACATTAAAGTCTGAATTGAGAGAAACTTTTATGATCTGTCATTTGATAATTTTTGACAATGCCTTCTGTTGATTTATTATAGAGAGTAATTCAAATCATCTTCATGATTAGCACTACTAACTTTTCATCACATTAATGCCAGTCACTTTCCTTCAAGAAAATAATGACAACCTGTTACTGCCTAGCATCTCTTCATTTTCCATAAGCTAAGTAGTTATTTTGACTTGGGAAAAGGTTAAAAAAGTTGAAATTATGGGATCATAGGTATCCTCACTTTTACTGTTTCTATATCTAGTGCCTCTAAAGAGTATGGCGTGATACAATACTGACTCAGGCTAAATCCCTGTGGGAGTACTGTTTGGCTTCTCTACCAAAAGGAGCATGTGCTTTCCCAGAATTGAGAAATTATGTCTGCTTATTGACATGTTAGAAATTCCAATAATAGTAATTTTAATTCAGTAGTGAACTATGGGAAAGATGAGAGAGTACCCTGATACAGCATATAAATTGTTCTCTCCAACTTCACTGTTGTCATT